TTGTATTCACATTTATTGATATTCTTGCCAAATATTTTATAGATTGTATAAAAAAAGTATGTAATTTACTTATAAAAGTAAGAAAAATTACTGTATTGAACAGCAAGCTTTAAATCAGGATTTTATAATGGAATCATTATAATGGACAGTGGGGTTTAGACATAAAAGGGATAGTTCACCCCAAAACGACAATTTACTTATTATTTACTCTCCCTCAAGTTGTTTCAGACTTGATGAGTTTCTTTCATTATTCTTTTTCTGTTGAACAAAAAGACAGCTGAAAACCTTTTTTTATAAACATTTTTTTTATGTCTCTCCATTATAATGAACAGTGGGTTCTATAATAATGTGCAGTCTATAAAACAAAAACCTGAAAAGTTAAAATGTTATATTATAAGTTTGTAACCTTCAGAAAAAAATTCAATTTAAGATAAACAATTTGTATTACTTTATTTTAGTTTCATGTTGGTGTGTTGTTTTTAAAGTACAGCTGTTTTACATGATGTATATTGAAAAGAAAAAACAAAACAAAAAAATCTAATAAATTATATTATTTTATTTGGTCTCATTTTTGGAAGACTTAAGAGCAGGGAACATGTAATTCAACATTTGTCTGAAACTTGGAACGAATGTAGTTCATGTCTGAGGAGTTAATAGTTGTACTATTTAATATATTCATGCAAACCAACAAAACTATTTGAATAAACATATGAATACGAAAAATACTGTATTTTTATGAATGGTACTTTTAATCTTGCACATATCAGTGAGCAAACATACGTTAAATAAAATAAGGTTTCAGTACAATAAACAAATACCTCCATTTATATCTCTCTATAAAAAATAAAAACAGCAATACAGACAATAATAATCAACAGGTGAATTAACCTCCAGTGCATAAATAACAAGTCATGCAGAGCAAACTAGAAACTACAGCATGCTGTTGTCGATTTAAAAAGCTAAGTCTGCGTTTATCTATGTCCCCTTCAACAGTACATCAAGAGTTATTTTTATAATGATAAAGACCCTAAAGAGCTTTAAAAGGCCAAATGTATAAACCATAATCTCTTCATAAAAGAGGCAGTTGGAGAATCAATGCTTGTATAGGTTGCATGTCAAAGAGCAAAGCAAAATCAATATTACTTTATAATCCAGTAGTGAACTCAAATGTGTGCATTCAGCAGGCAGATTAGTGTGTAAGAAATAAACTGTGTGTGTGTAGGCAGAATTGCTGTTTTATTTACAGTCATTGCATTTACATATCCCCCTTACACCCACTGTAATAATCTAGCAATGCAAGAACCAACTGCTGAGAAAAAACCCATCTCTACCACTTTCTATGAAGCTCTTTGATGAATTGTAAATCTGTTTATAATTATTCAAAATTCAAGCATAACAATTCTTTGCATGTACCTATAAAGACACAACAAACCTTATAATGTATTATAATGACAGTTATAGCTACATTTATAATGGTGTTATTAATGATTATTAGTAGGGCTGGGCGGTACGACAGTATATATTGTTACTGCAAAATGAAATGTGTATAGTTGTGTTCTGTGTATAGTGTAAAATTGAAATAAGTGGGCATGGCTAACTTGCATAAACCAGCAAGTGTTGTTTGAGGCTGAGGCTCAATGGGAAACTAGCAGGCATGCTAATTCTTTTATATTTTCAACAATAAGTGATCACTTAGTTTTATTATTTATACAAGAATTGTATTGTTTACATTTTCTGTTTTAGAGGAAAATTCTGTTTGTATTTCCTTAAATGGTTTTTATATTTAAGCTGTATCTTCCTGTTACTTACTTGAGATATATTTTATATCTGTGAGAAGATGTTTTTTGAAAAATGTTTATAATAATAAGGTCTGTTCACATAAAAATAATTTGTTGTTCATTTAAAGTCTTATTTTGTTTAACATATGTATACGGTTAAAAATAAAATACAAAATAATCAAATAAGATCAAGTCCTTTTCTTTTCCTTAATTGTCTGGCTTATTTATTATATAAAGCCCTTCTGTAGTTTTTCTGGAATAACTACATTAATAAAAACAATACCAGGAAAGATAACGTTATCGTGAAAAAAATAATTTAGTCATCGCTCAGTTCTACTTACTAGTGACGTATTTATTATTTTTCAGTTAACATTTCATAATATTTTACTCTGATTTATATGTATTAATTCATCAGTGATGGTTGTATCGTGTTGAAGTCTACCATAGATAGATACACTAGATATCGCATACGGACCCTGAGTATGCGTCAATACTGTCGCCTTAATTTGTACAGTGCTCCCATGATAAATGACATTCAACCGCACTAGTCAAGACTTTTGCGCTGTTTACGGGTATAGTAATGAGCAAAAAAAGAAAACAAAACATAGAGGCAGAACATTACATAGGTAAGTTTTAATTTTTCACATTTTTATGTTATTAACTCTTGTGCTCAACAAGTATTGATGATAATACAGTCTCTTACTGCACTGACCTTAAGGAAAAGTAGCACCAACTTGCACAAAATTCTAGGCTTATGCTAGTTTTGTTGAATTAAATCAGCAAACAATGTAAATGAAATATGACAACAAGACACTGCGCTGCAATAAACTTATTGTCGGCTAAGTGAAGTAACGGCTAGTTTCGAAGTAACTTATTATTATCAATTTATTGAATATTATTATTGAATATTACAAGTGTTATATACCATTTAGATCAGAAAGGTGGATGTGCATATTGAGACGCAGACTAACAGTGGTTCACACTATTCGTTCGTAACGGAGATTCATTTACAAACGAATCACTTTAGAATCTGAAGTGAAAGCAGGAAAGGAGTGTGTTTCTGAACACAGATGAAATCACATTTAACAGGTAGGGAGATAATACATTTACATGCACACAAATACATGCTCTTTGTCGGCAATGCCCATGCGGTCACTGATCCATTGATATAGAAAATTTATGTAAAATTATACATTTCGTAATTAAAAAAAACTAATCGGCATACTGACCAGCAGGAAAACTCCCGATCATAGATATATGTATGTCTATATATCTATGGCTCCTGATGGCCAGTCCTCCACTTCACCTTGGTCCTATATTCATTTCCAAGGAGCACTTCCCTGTACTAAAATGGTGGCTCCATTGACACATTCCTTGCGATAGTTAACAACAGCGTAGGCGACGTCTAATGTAAATATCTATAGTACTCTATAATGTTAAAACATTGGAATGTTAATTACCTATATAAAGACCCATTGGTAAGTTAATAGATTTTGTTCTTTGAAATAAGTGTATAATTTTATATTGTTAGAGTCATGTTGCCTTATAAATACTCAGAGTCATAATACAGTTACTAACCTAAAAAATGCATCATTACAGTCAAAACAACGTCATTTCTTAACATTTGCATGTGGAAAATTTCCATCCTGTTTTCACCTTACCTAAACCCATCAATTGTGCATTTAAAAAGATTAGTAACTGTATTATGACTCACATTAAGTACTTGATAAGGCAACAGGCTCTAACAATATAAAACCATACATTTAAGTTTACTTACAATAAGATTATTATGCCTCTGAAAAGCTCAGATGATGGAGTTAAGATTTTGGAAGTTTCTGAATTGACAACATTTGAGTTAATTGGAGGCACAACTGTAAAATAGTATTTAAGGAAAACCTCAAATACACTGCTTCCTTGTGTGACAACATGGGAAAATCAACAAGCCAGAATCAACAACAACAACAAAAAAAAGCCAGATTACAATTTACTAAATTACACTGGGAAAAACAATAATTTTGGAGACGTGTCGTCTGGTCTGATGAGTCTAAAATTGAACTGTTTGGCCATAATGACCAGTGTTACATTTGGAGGACAAAGGGGAAAGCTTACAAGCCTAGGAACACCATCCCAACTGTAAAGTATGGGGGAAGCAGTATCATGTTGTGGGGCTGTTTTGCTGCAGGAGGGACTGGTCCAATTCACAGCATAGTTGGCATAATGAAGAAAAAACATTATGTACAAATACTGAAGCAACACCTCAAAACATCAGCCAGGATATTAAAACTTGGGCACAAATTAGTTAAAATGTGCTTTAAGGACAACAGAGTGAATGTTTTGGAGTGGCCATCACAAAGCCCTGAACTCAATCCTATAGAAGATTTGTGGGAAGAGTTGAAAAAGCTTGTGCAAGCAAGACAGCCAACAAATCTGACTCAGTTACACCAATGCTGTCAGAAGTAATGGCCTAAATATTGTGAGAAGCTTGTGGAAGGATACCCAAAACATTTGACCAAAGTAATACGTTTAAAAGCAAAGCTAAAAAATACCAAGGAAATGTATGTAAACTTTTGACTGTCTAGAATTAAATGAAAAACTATCAAAAAAAAAAAAAAACTCATTATTCTGTCATTTAGCAAATGTAAATCATTTAGGTAATTCTAACGGACCTAATAGAGTAAATGTTTAGTATACTTTACCATCAGACATTTTAAAAAAATGGTTATGTTGCTTTTTTTAGAGTGTTTGTAAACCTCTGGTTTCAACTGTATATTGAACAATAAAATGAATTACCAATAAGTATTAATACCACTATTATAAATGCATTACATAAATACATTTTTAGAATTATTATGCTCGATTATAAATAATCATAAACAGAGTTATAATTCATTACAAGCATGAGCGTCATAGGAAGTCTTACAAAAATTTCATCCAATTTTTATAACAGGGCAATCTGTAATATCTTTCCTGAACATCGATCGACGATAACTTCCAACATCAGTGTTTCATGTGTTCCATGCACTCGCGCACACACAAGCAGGCCCCCCCCCCACACACACACACACGCACTGGCACACTCAAAAATGCACACACGAACACACATGCACACCCAACCTACACCTCGCTCCATTAAGTTCACCCACATACCGCACTGAAGTCTGACTATGCATTATCCAGACAGGCTCTATTTTTAGCCATTTCTTTTTCTCTCTGTGGTCTTACCTGCGGCACACTGCTCCTCGTCTGCTCCATTTTCACAGTCTCTTTCTCCATCGCAGCGCCATGACAAAGACACACACTTGCTGGTTGAGCCGCCACAGTCAAACTTCTCTGGCGGACACGTCTGGCGACCTGTGAGCAACAGCAGAGACATTTTAAAGGATGACATACTGTATCAACTAACATTAAAAATGTGTAGTTTCCAGATGCTATATACAACACATTATGTACAAATTGCATATACAATATACAATACAGTGACATATTTTCATTAAAATATATATGTTGCAACTTTGATATATTCACATTAAAATATTTGAAGTCTATAGCCTATGCGTCAAAGAGGAATTGGCTATTTGATTAAAAATACAGCAAAACTGTAATATAAGATATATTATAAAAATGCAACTGCTTTCCAATCCAAAATATTTTAAAATATAATTTATTCCTGTGATGGCAAAGATTTGCTTTTTTTTGGCTGTTTCTTTAGTGTCCTGTGATCATTTAAAAATGACCCTAATGCACATCAGGTTCATTTATTTTTATTAGCCAATTAGTTGTGCTGCTTATTGTTTTTTTTTTTGTGGAAACTTTGATACAGGATCTTTGATGAATTGGAAGTTCAAAAGAACAATATTTATTACAATTATTGTAAAAGTCTATTTAAAATTAATTTGTGCATATTTTATATGGTGCATAATAAATGTCTTAATTGACAATCTTTTTAATTATTTTTTAATTTTATTTTATATTATATCACTTTTTATTTTTTATTTTATTTATTTAACTATTAATTACTTGAATTATGTAATGTACTTCTAGGTTAAAATCTGAAATATGACAATGTTTTTAACCATGATGAAAAAAAAATTATGATTTCAAATAAATAATAAAAAATAAAAATAAAAGATATATTGCATTATTTTGAATTATTTTATGATATAATACATATTTTTCAATATAATAATAATAATAATTATTATTTATTATTATTGGCTTGGGGCACACAGAGCTACGGCTGGATCAGTTGGCGTTTCTGAGTGGAGTTTGCATGTTCTCCCTGCGTTCGCGTGGGTTTCCTCCGGTAGCTACGATTTCCCCCACAAGTCCAAAGATATACAGTATAGGTGAATTGGGTAAGCTAAAACTTGTCTGTAGTGTATATGTGTGAATGAGAGTGTATGAAGGAAATCCACGCAAACATGGGGAGAACATGCAAACTCCACATAAAAATGCCAACTACCCAGCCAAGGCTCAAACCAGTGACCTTCTAACTGTGAGGCGACAGCACTACCCACTGCGCCACCCTTAAATATATTTATTATTATATAACTTTTTAATTTTTCACATTTATTTACCTATTACTTCTGTGAATTCTGTAACTTGGATGGAAAAATGAATCAGTATGTACTGGATTAAAATCTGATCCCTTAAAATGTTTTAACCCAAATGAAAACCCCAGAAATAATTAAAAATTAAAATTTATTAATTAATTAATTTAATTATCTAAATTAAATTAAATTAAAAAATAATAAATTAATAATAAAAAATAAAAATCTTAAAAAGTTATTGGGTTTTTGATTTGTTAACTGTTGAACTACTAATGAACCCAACAAACTGTAAATGTCATGGAAAGTGTGCACCATAATAAAAAGAGTTAGAAAACAAACAAAAAGACAAACAAACCAATAAATAAGGTTTACAATAAAAGAGCCAATCCCTTTCGCTTTTACATTTGCTTATAAAAACTATCACCATCAATATGAACATCCTTTCTTGTCAAGCCCAATCACAGATCCACAAATTCAATAAGACATTCCTCTGGCCGTATTGTCCACCCAAACCCAAGCCCATTGAAACATTTTGAAGTTTCATCCCAGATCACACAGCGTTCCCAAGACAGCTCCATAAATTATACATCTCTACATGTCTGGGAACCAAAGCACAAATCAATAGCAGCCAGACTGATTTCTCTCAGTCCCATTCTTCACAGTCCTTTCAGTAAATTTCGCTATATAAAAGAAGATTTATGAAGACCTTCTCACCTTCTCTGACACCTCGAATCTGTGTCTGCGGCCTATTGTTACTCAAAACCTATCTATAATCATAAGTCTGAATGCTGTGTCTTTTGCTGGAATCCGCTATTGTACCGATTTCTCTGAAGAAATGGGAAAACGACAGCTGTGAATCTCATTTGAGGTATCTCTTCATCAGCCATTGTGGCTCTGCAAATTGAGGCCAGGTCCATCTGTGGGAGCCATATTGGATCTGAGACTGACAGAGGAAAGAAAAAAAGGTCCTATTTAAAACCAAAGCTTAACCCAACTCTGTGAGGCTTGTTGGTGAGTGACTAGGGAAATGTATGTGACAGAGCGGGTTTGTTTGAATAACGTTTGTACGTGAATGTGTGAGTGCGTGTGTGTGTTTTTGGCTTTGTCAGCATGTGTCTGAATAAACTGAATGACCCGTTCTGAATGTCTGGCTGACTGGTGGAGATAGCAAAGCCTCCTGGGAAACGCAGTCTGTCTTATCTGCTCTCTTCCCTTCATAACCCTGAAGACTACGGTGCACACTGGGCTTTTCATTCACTGCACATGCTACTTCCTTCTTACTTGGCCATGCTGGAAAATACTCAGAGATTCAGTAATGGCACCATAACTAGTGTAAACTAAAGCAGCGATGGGAATATTGTCACACTTTTAATGAGCTTTAATGTGCTCATTACACTTCACAAAAACCATCATCAAGCTGGTTTCATGATCCATCCTAAAAACAATAAGACATAATCCAAAGGAGGTAGAGTAACAACTTCTCTTGAGAAGAACCCCATCATTTCTTTGTGCAAATTATATTGTTTTACACAAACACGCATTTAAAATAAAATCTAATATTAGTTTTGATAAAACATGCACTCTAGGGTCTATGTTTGCTTTGCTAATATTACTGAAAAGTTAAACATTCCATATTCTATTCTAAAACATAAAATCACTTACAAAAGATAACACTATTCTAATATCATATATAAATCATATAAATAAATAATGAACAAATAAATAAATAAATAATGAGGTTATTTTTCTATAAATATATTTACTTTAATAATAATATTAATGATGATGATGATTATTGTTATTATTATTATTATTATTATTATTATTAAGTAGGATGTTGTTTATTTATTTACATTTTTTTTTAAAAGTCTACCTTACAATTTGACACATAAAAACCACAGCAGAAGGTTCTAACCAACAGGCCCACATCATATACAGTAATAAATAACAAACTATAAAATAAAGGAATTAACGTATGCTGTGTATTTTGTTTTTACAAACTTTGGAGACGTAACATAGATTCCGCTTTTAAAAAAAAGGTCACCTAGCTTTTGCCATGAGGCTGTGTTTAAAATGACATCAATGGTTTCAAAGTGCACTGCGGAGGGGAGCACAACTGTAAACACAAAGATAGCTAAAACTGAACTATGAAAATACTTTGAATGCAAATTACACCTAATAGAGAAGACCTTAATGCTTTTTTATTTATAATATTTCCAACTTTGAATGTTAGAATGTTCTAAATGAATAGGGCATAGGGGGGATAAGTTGGAATAGAACAGCCAAGAACTATGTTCCTAACTACAGCTCCAAAGGTGTAGTTTCAAGTGCTCAAGTTTGCAACTCAATTTGCAAATGTTCGTTGCATCAATGGATTAGTGAATTATGTTTGTAGTTGGCTAACGATGGTTTTGGGAAACGCACCCCTGGTCGACTAAAGTTTATATTGCACCCTCTGGTGGATTTATTTGAGAAGAGAACATGTGAGAGAAATTTGTGATAATCAAAAAGCGTACACAGCAGCCTCTGGTGGATTTGCAAAAACAAAGACTGTGAGCAGACGCACTTAAGGTTATATATTTTGCTGTCCCCAGAAATGTAGACCTATGTACGTATCTGCAATGAGCTGGGGTATTAAATTTAATTATTAAAAATGTTCTTTTATTTCCTTTCATACAGCAGGCAAATATTACAACAGGTACAAAAAAGTTAACTTGCAACCCTGAGAAATGTCCACATTGAAACCCGTTAAAAATCTATTGTACACATATACAACATTAGTAATGAATACATTTTTTTTAAACATACATTTTGATTTCTCAGGACAATGCTTATATGCATACAATACAACACTTTTATTTATTATAACTTTTATTAAGCGAGGACCCATTGAATTGACAGTAAAGAAACAGAAAAGGCATTAATAATGTTAAGCAATAATTATTGTAGCATAATCATCATAGTAATGATTTCTGGAGGATTTTGCTTCACTGAAGACCAGAGAAATGCCTACTATAAGAATATTTTATTATGAGAACATTTGACAACATTAACATTTACAGTTAACTGTTATAGCTCAATATTGGATATGTTGATTATCTAACTATAACATTGGATGACTAAAGTGCTTAATATACTTCAAACAAAATTGAAGAACAAACTGAAATTACATCATTTCGAACAAAATCTGGCTGAAACAAAGTTCGTTTTGATTTTGTTTTGGTGATTCGAAACAGCTAACGGTAGCTAACTTTTCTGAACACCTTTATGTTAACATTGGTCAATGGTCATTAAGCAATTGGTGCGTGTGTTCTGAAATGATGTGATTCACCCAAACAAGAACTTTGTTTGAAGTATAATGAGGGCTTAACAACACAAATCCTCTGTTTACAAACATAATGTTAAACTTTACCATCAGCAAATGACTTCCATGAGCTCACTTAGATTGTTAATTCTAAAACTGATCAGCATAACACCCACACAGCTCTGTAAGATGAATGGTCAGTGGATGTAACTGTGAGAAACTGATGAACTCGAGGTAGAGGTTATTTATCCAGACTTAAAATAAAATCAGAATGATGCACTTTCTGAAGATTAGAGACAATTTTTGCACTACCACGCACAACTCAAAGACTAACAGAATACTGACTGACAATGGGATAAAGTACTGTACAGTAACAAAGTAGAGAGAGTTTGCAGAACTCAAATAAATGTGTCAATGATAAACAATATTTTGATAACGACAACACGCATCATATTGTTTTAATGTGCACTTTAAAACAAAAGTAAGTCATTATTTAT